TCTATGTGCCCCCCTTCACAGTGGTAGAAGACGGCTAGAGCAGGAACTGAGGCAGATCTCAGCCATCCCAAAATACCGTTGGCCGCAACCAAGTAAGGCTCGGGCCAAACGTTACCATCCTTCCTCCACACTCTCGGGCCAGCAAGTAGCTCACTAAGGAAGAGCATCTTGCCAGAGACATCCCAGTCCCAAGCGGGGATCTGGCCGGCACATAAAGGGTGGTTGATCACCAACCCAGCGTCTTCAGCTAGACCTCTACAGGCAGATGGGAAACCCTTCCAGAAATCCTTAAGGTCTTCAAGCTCGGTAGGATCCGTGACCTTAATATCGTCGTCGTATAACCACCACACGTCTCCACGACCGGACCGGGCCGAAGAGCGTGCGACTACATCATTAAACCGTACATCGGGCCGAGGTTTCAAAGCATCACCCCAGCCAGGGTGAGGAACACCAGCTCGTTGCAGAACTTGATCAGTGCTCCAGTCAAAATCCTTGGAAGAACGTCTTCTAGGCGAGGTAATCGAAGCCACAGGACGATCTTCGGAAGAACGCACCTCCAGCGAACGCTTCTCCAAACCGTCATTTTCTTTCTCGAGGAGCTGGTCGTTGACTACCGATCTCACCGTAGGAGTTGTCGAACTCATACAGGCCAGTAGACCTTCTACAGGGAACATACGGGCTTGCTCCCAAGCTCCAATCTCTTCCAACAGGCTGGAGACAGCGGTCGCAACTTCAGGTGGGACTACGAACACAAAGGCCGAGGGGCTCACTTCCTCCTCTAGAACCTGGCGTAAACTTTCGACCGTATCCTTCCATACGTTCCCAGAGACGACAGTAGGCTCTGGCGAAGAAAACGAGGTAGGACCATCCTTGGAGCAGGCCGAATCCCCAGTAGTTCTAAGAGGCGTGATCGGCCCGTGAAACCCTTGGGCCGAGCCCCGGTCCATAGCCCCAGTCAGCGGTAAATTACGTCTCGGAGAAGGCTTTGCAGTACGATACAGTTCACCCAACAAGTCATCCAATAGACCGCTGGACGGACACATAGCCTCCACAAAGACAAACGGTGGGTCACCTTCCACGACAACAGATGGCCAACGTTTAGTACGACAGCGTTCAAAGACCATCAAACTTGCACGACCCGCATGAATATACACCGAGTGAACGTCGTCCGAGCCGTCGGTAGGGGAAAGTCTCCCCAACAAGCACTGTCGACCAACCAAATCTCGTCGTTGTCGTGGTTGACCAATACCTCATCAAATGTCATCGTCCACGACCAGTGTCGAAATCGGCACCAACCCTGGGACATTTCGGTTTCCGAAGGAAGTCAGATGAGTGCAACTCATCAGAAGGCCAGAATCGGGCCTTGAATCGAGCTTCCCTAATAGCAGAGGAAGCAACACGGTTCCCGAAAGAACTCATCGGAAGGCCAAAGTCGTGGCCTTTAACCAGGCATCCCGAATATCAAGGGACGCAACATACTCAGCCATCGCCCCTATCCGGGTCTCACGTTCCCCGAACAGTTGCTAAAGCTAACACAAACTACACACTGGCAGTCAACGAATCACGCCGGTTGATCAGGCCAACATAATCCGCGACAAAATCCCAGCAGCAGTAAAACGTCAAAATGATCAAAATAACGGGGCCCAAATCGAATACATGCATGCAATAACAACAATAACTCAGCCGGCTCTACACTACTCTACATTCTCTCCTCCCTCCCCCTACTCAGAGCCACGAGGAGGCATCTGAGTAGTAGAGGAAGAATAGGAGCCATCCTGGCCATAATGGTCAGGACTGAAAAAGGTCGTCTGATGCCTAGTTCGTGCCGAACGTCGAGAACTTACCTGGCCAACCTGGCTAGTTTGAAAATCATTGGCATCACCGGGGATCCTCGTCGTGGTCGGAACCAGTCCAACTTGAGGATCGCCTCCATCATGAGGACAGACAGCAGGGTCCTGTGCAAAAGGTGCAGGGGGGAGCACAGCGTGACTCTGCGGAAAATTGTTACCCTCCACGGCTAGCTCGGGGCCGTGTTGGATCAGGGGGTGAGCATCGTCGTAGTCAATCTCGGCAACCTCTGAAGTGTCCTCTAGGGCAGTATACACTGAGCCCCGGGGACTTCCCAGAACACTTGTGACAGAGTGATGGTCATCGTTGCTCTCCTGAGCAGCAGGAGTAGCATTCTCACCCTCAAGGTTTAGCGGCTGGAGTGGCACTTCCAGCGGAGACTCCAAAGCTGGGAGTCTCGGACCATCGGGCTGCACCTCTCGCAGGTCAGCCTCTTCAAACAGAGAAGGATGCCTACACGGCTCCTCCCCAGCATCATGTTGTTCGACCGTTGGGGCAACGTCATAGTCATCAAAAACCTCAGAAATAGGCTCATACTCAGCGTTAATCGAAAAAACCTCTTCTTGGGGTGCAGGCGGTATATTTGGAGCCGAAGAAGGTGGCGGTACGGGTCTTCCTCGGTCGTCTCCAAACGGAAACTCGGGAATGGTCGGGGCTTCTCGTGCTGGAGTTGGTCGTTGACGAGCAATACCGAGTTCGGCCGGGACATGCTCCGGTTGCAGAGGGTCGTTGATCACATGATCAATAGAGATGACTTTCTCTGCCATATCTGGCCATCGTCGTAATACAACCGTCTTTTCATTCGTGCCCGGGACAAACTTCAACACATACCAATTAGGTTGCCAGCGAGGCAGGAGCTTGTGACCGGGAATCGCCGTTCGGAATATTCTCAGCATGACCCGTTGACCGACATAGAATACACGCTTCTGCTGACGACCAGCCCTAGCTTGTTGACGATGGGCTGACGAGCGGCTGACGACCCACTGGTCGACAATATCTGCCAGTCGGGCCTTGACGAAGGACGCATGTTCGTCGTAGCCTGCCGGATCAAACAAAAACTCTGTGTACTGATCAAAAGAAGGCAGGAAGGAGCATCGAGACTCCCGATTGAACATCAAGTAGAACGGGCTATACCCCGTGCTGCTGTGCACCGAGGTATTGTATGACCACAACAAAGGCCGTAACCACTGCTTCCAATTTCCCGAAGACACATGAGTTCTCAACAGGCCTAAAATCGTAGCGTTGAACCTCTCCACGGCCCCATTGGCACATGGATGATACACACTGGTTCTCGCTTTCGTCACACCGAGCAACTGTAAGACTTCTAAGAACAACTGACTCTCAAAAGCTGGACCTTGGTCCGAGAGCAACCGTTGAGGAGGGCCGAAGATAGAAAACAAATGCAACAAACATCTGGCTGCCTCTTCGGCTGACTCTCCTCTCACTGGATATGCATCAGCCCATTTTGTGAAGTGGTCTACCACCAGTAGCTTGGAGGTACCATCAGGCTCTGGAGCTACCGTGAGGAAGTCAACAGCCACGGTTCTCCAGGGAGTACCAACCGGTAAAGGCATCGCAGGACCGATAGGTGGCCGATGCCCCTTAGCGATCTGACATTCCCGACAGGCTGCTACATGCTCGGCAACATCTTCAGCCATAGTAGGCCAGTAACACAGTCGCCGTAACTTCTCCAGGTTTCGGTCTCGTCCAAAATGGCCATCATGTTCGTGGAAGTGCTGCATGAGTGTCTGCCGGCTGGAAGACGCTATCACTGGGACCCATCTCGCCTCGTCCTCGGGCAGGAAGTGAGCCAACCGTACCAAGATACCATCTGTAACATCCAACACATTCCATAACTTCTTGTATGGTCGAAGTGGGGGTATTTTGAACTCCATCCTTGACAGTGGCTGGGGGCTTCGACGTCGCTCCCTCACTTCCGCAATAATGAGATCGTCGTCCTGCTGTCGCCCGATATCCTCCTTGGACCAGTGCTCGGCAATAGACAATACGCAGGCCGGTCGACAACTTGCTGGCAATCGAGGGAAGGGCCACGGTATATCGTCATCGTCCCAGGGAACAGCGGCTGCGGCTGGTGCAGGCGGCAGTTCTTGCAGGAACTCGTTCGTTGGGGCCGTAGTCCGTAACCTCGAGAGCGCGTCGGCAGCCTTATTGGCCTTTCCCTCCACATATCGTACAGTGAAGGAATACTGGCTCAT